CCGGTCCCTGGTGGGCTGAGCTGCCCCCCCCCACACACACATAAATAAAATTTTTTTTTTAATTTTTTATTTATTTATTTGTTTATTTATTTTGTGTGTGTGTGTGTGTGGCCAGCTCAGCCCACCAGGGGGCGCGGCTGGCTGGCATGTGGTGCTGGGGGATTGAACCGCTGTCCTTGTGCTTTGCTAAGCTTGTTCTAAGTAGGTGCTTTAGACCACTGAGCCATCTCACCAGCCCCAATAAAATTTTTTAAAAAATCAAGTTTTACAAATTAAGTTAACAGTTATTCAGATAAATTAATATTCAACCTGACCAGATTCATTTCTAAAGATTCTAGGACAGGGACCATTGGTTTATCTTGGAAGCTGCAGAAGAAGCCTGTGAAGACTTACGTTGTAAGTGGGTCACTCTAAGGTGTGAGAAGTCCTGAAAGAGTTCAGCACTGTATTCTGTCTCTCTTTTTATTTTTATTTTTATTTTATTTTTTAGACAGCATCTCACTATGCAGTTCCGGCTGGCCTTGAACCCACTCTGTAGTCCAGGCTGGCCTTGAACTCATTGTGGTCCTGCCTCAGCCTCCAGGTGCTGGGATTATAGGTGTGCGCCACCACTCTGGGCCAAGCACCACATTCTAAAACAGTACAATTTAAATCATAGAAAGTTAATCTTATCCTCACTTTGAGTTGATGTTGTAAGTGATGGTTAATTAAGGATGGATTGAAATATTTAGCTCTGATGATAATTAGCTGAAGTAGTAGTTTAATGTGTAGGGCAAATTACAGAGAATTCCAGACACTGCCCCCCCATTGCCCACCATCAGTCCCGCACACTAGATTTGTTTGTTCATGTGTATGTGGATAGTGGTTGTTAAACAGAGGGCCTTTGCTCTGAGCTACATCCCTCTTTTTTTTGAGACAAAGTATTTGCTAAATCAAATCACTAAGTTGCTCAGGCTGGACTTGAACTCGTGAGCCTCCTATCCCAGCCTCACAGGTTTTATTAAAATTTTATAGATTCACTTGAAACAAGTCTGGCCTGTCCCAGGCTCCTGCTGCTGCAGGAGCAGCTGCTGGCTGCTAAGGTGTGACTCCAAGGCCGCTGTGTGCCATCTGAGCTTTCTGTGACTTGATGTAGGATGTTGTCCCACAAAGGCAGTGAAGTGAACTTGTTGGGGACTGGCCCAGAACCGCAGAGTTGGGGCCTTGGTGTGGAACTTTCCTGTCCTGTGTGACAGTCGTGCCTTTGATACCTGGACTGTGGGTCTGCTTTTTACCTTGAGTGGTAGGTTTATGGGCACAGCCCCCCTTCCTTCAGCAAGTGATGAGGACCCGTAGGCATCCTCCATCCCGGATGAGTGGCACGTGACCACAGCGGGAGGGGCTCCGGCTGCCTGGTACAGCCTGATGTGATCATCATCAAGGTTGTTGATCTCTCCCTGGAAAGCTGGTAGGTGCTTGCTTAGGACAGGAAACCCAGCCGCACCAACGCTCAGGGCTGTTACCTTAGCTTCTGCAGGTTCACAGACTCAGCCCTGTCTGTCTTCCTGTCATGGGTAGGATGGCAGTGATCCTCTCTCAACTTTGCTCTGCGACTTCAGCACCCCAACATTGAGATCCTGCTCACCAGGAGTCAGCGCCTTCTGAAGCAGCACTTTCTCGCCTGTCCAGCTCCGTCCCCCGTCCTGCCCCTGCCTTCCCAACAAAGCCTGAGTCTATTCCCCGTGTGCAGCTCCCCACAGCACCCTGCTTTCTCTGCCAGCTCCCACCCACCCCTTCCAGGGCACTTCCTATGACATGTGTAGTCCCAGTTGTGAGTTGTTTCCTGAACAGGACGGAAGTTAGCAGGTGAAAGCAGAGGAGAAGGCGGGCTGTGTGAGGCCACCTTGCAAGCCCCTTCACCAGCTGTGCGGTCAGCAGCGCCTGGCCCTGGGGAAACAAGGGCTCTCAAGAAGCAGGGTCCTTGGCAGAGCTGCTGCCGAGCGCCAGGACAGGCATTGCCCAGAGCCAGCAGAGAGAGGAGAGGCGCTGTGCCTGTCCTGTGCTTGTGGGGACAGACACACAGCACCCTTCGGGTGGGTTCTGCCCGCATTCCTTGTGTGTTCAGCTGGCAGTAGAGGCATGAAGTCCTTTCTTCCCAAGGAGAGAGCACTCTTATTGCTTTGGGAGGCCCAGGGTGAAGCAACCTTCCGAGCTGTGGTTTCAGCTGACAAGTTTTGAAACTGAAGTGGGGGTGAAGTGCCCTCAAGGTAACGCTTGGCTCCCACCCTTGGGGGCCTCTTTCCAGGCCTCTTCAGGGCCTTTCCCAGCTCCACAACTGTGGCTCACCAGAACAGTGCCTGTGGACACTTGGGGCTCCAGAGTCTGTTCAGAGGTGGCAGGAGTCAGCCACCAACTTCCTGTCAGGCCTGGAAGCCCAAGCCAGGGCCCAGGTGGCTGTGCGATCACAAAGCCCACACAGTCATCCTACACACACCTGTGTCGGAGGCTGCAGTGCTGCAAGCCTGGCTCCTGGCCCTCTGGGGCGCATGGTAGAGCACAAGGCAGGTGTCCCTTGAGGCCCCAGCCCTCAACTGAGCACCCTTCCTGGACAGAGCATGCTTCTGTTAGCAGCATCCCAGCAGGATGGGGGCTGCAGGCACAGCAAAGACAGTGGCCAGTAACGGGGGGGGGGCACAGAACCGTACAAAGGAGACAGCAGAGCTATAGGCACCGCCGCTGGAGCAGGAAGATTGGAAGGAGGCTGAGGCCCAGGAGCCTCTCAGCCCCAGGATATCGTGAGCCAGCACACCGCAGTGCCATCCAGGAATGACTACAGGCTGTTGGAGAGGTGCAGTTGGCACTGGCAGCAGGCGCAGCCCCTCTCTCCATCCTTCTCTTTCCTCTCTCCTTTCTCTCCCTCCCTCTCTCCTTCTTGCTCTCTGTCCTGCTGCAAGGGCTCACCCCTCAGCATAACACACAGGAAAGAGAACCCCGGAGTAGTCAAGTCACGAGGTCCTATGAACGACCAGGAGTGGGTGATGCCGGCGGGCAGGATACAGCCCCTCTGAATGAATGCGCCGTGAGCTTGATTTCATCCCTGAAGGCTCTAAGGGGAGTTCTGAATCTATTTTTAGTGCTCATGCATTCTTGAAGGCCACACCTTTATGAGAGCTGGAGAACAGGATGGAGGATGGAGCTTGGGCTGCAGGGGACAGAAGGCGTGCTGCTGGGGGGGGGGGGCTCAGTGACCCTGCCCTGGGGAGGCAGGAGTGTGATGGCTCCGTAGTGGTTGGGGGACCGCTGCTGAGGACCAGAGGTCAGCAGACGTCCCCGGGAGGGGCAGAGCACAGCTTGTGCCGTCTCAGCACTGCTGCTCACTCCTTAGTCGTGGGCGCAGCCAGAGGCAGCCTGCACAGAGCGGTGCGGCTGTGAGCCGGGAACGTGACTGGTCTTGAGCTGAAACGTAGTTCAAGTGAGACGCGCCTGTCCGGGGGCAGCAGCAAAGTCCGGAGCCAGGCCTGTGCTCTGGGTGGGCCAACCGCCAGCAGGTCAGCGCTTAGATCCTGCTGGGTGCTGGCTTGTCCTATGCTCGGGTGGCTTGGTGTCAGATGGAATGTAGGCCTTAAGAATTTGTTGGCACGGGTCAGGGCCTAGAATGCCCAGGCTGCCATCTCCTGCTGGCCCATGGGGTGCTTCGGAAGGTGGCCCCAGGTCTTTAATGCACTTAGCTTGTCACTGGCAGCACAAAATGGTCACTGTCCTCTGGAGAGCTCAAGGTTGTTGTTCTGCTAGAAAATTCCAGGTGATCAGGGCTGGGATTTAGCTCAGCAGTAGAACACTTGCCTAACAAACTGGAAGCCCTGGGTTCAGTCCTTGGCCACTAAAACCAAAAAATTAACCTCAACTTAAACACACACACACACACACACACACACACACACACACACACACGAAAAGAAAATTCCAGCTGATGGACGGCAGTAATTACCTCCTTTTCCTGCCTGGATATCTGTTCTGCCTGCATCCTGCCTCTTAGTCCTGACATGTGCTGCTCATCTGGGACCTCTCAGCTCTCTGCGGTCCCACCCTTGCAGCCTGGCAGCAGGGTGGAGGGCTGGCCTTGATTACTGCTCACACTGGCTTGTGACTTCTGGCTCAGAGTGCACCTGTGAGTGGCAGTTCTTGCCCTGCCCCTCAGCTCCCTGGTCCTGTCCTTCCTTGTGGGACTCTCTTGCATTCAGTGCAGGTGCCCCCTTGTTGGGGTGAGGGCAGTGGAGGAAGAAAAAGGGGAACAGCACAATCCCAGAAGGTGCCCTTGCCCTCTGGTGGCACGGGCGGCCAGGCCTCTGTGGAGTGACTGGCTACCTGCCGTGTTGTGACTCAAGGTCTCCAAACGCCGAGTGCTGCCTGCCTGGGCTGCAGGTGGCTTTGCTGGGGCCCTTGCATCTGGCAGTGGATTTGAGCCCTCAGTCTCCTGGGAAGCCACCAGGGAGGTCAAGCAGAGAAAGAGCTGTGGCCTGTGGCGCACCTGGGACTGGCTTCTGTGGTTGCCTCTTAGTTCCATCCTTGCAGTCCCTGGTAAAAGAAGGGGTGCGGTTGACCTACATTTCTGAGGTGTGGACATCTCTCCTAGAGAGGTGCACTGGTGTCCCAACCTCTGTTATCTGTCCCAGGCCACTGGAGGGTGGAGGGGAGGGAGGAAGCCACCCTCACAGGAGGGTACACGGTTCCCAGGACCTCGAGCCAGGTACCGGGAATGCCACAAGCTCTTGCCCAGCCTTCTCTACCCTTTGCCCCATCACCTGCTTGAGAAGCAGGCCTGGAGAGTCTCGTCCTCAGAGGAGAATCAAACCATGTGATCAAGTGGGCTGAGAAACTGGCCTGGTTTCCAGACCTCCCCAGGTGACACACTGCTGCCCTCAGGAGCCTCGCTCTGGTGTGGGGAGCTGTAATGTCCTGGGGCCGCGGCTGGCCTAACCTAGCTGACTGCCACTCCACCTCCCCATTTCCCTCGCCACCAGCCTCCAAGCTCCAGGTCTCCCGTGTTCCAGCAATAGCAACATTGCTGGCCTCACCCTTCACTGGTCTCTCACCGGTCTCAGTGTGCCCAGCGAGCCCCAGTTCCTGGTCCTGTCTCTCCCATGTGGCTGTGCCCTGGAGGTGCCCTCTTCTCCATTGGCTGGGAGGTTCAGGCAAGGGCTACCGCTCCCAGCCCTGGGGCTCTGCTCAGGCTGACCCCGGGTCCCTTTGCTTCTCTTGCAGATGCCAACATGGACAGAGTAGCCTATGATGCTCACCCCCACCCACCACTTCCGAGACATTGAGCGGAGACCAGAGTACCTCCAGCCAGAGAAGTGCGTGCCACCGCCCTACCCTGGGCCCGCGGGAACCATGTGGTTTATCCGCGATGGTTGTGGCATCGCCTGTGCCATCGTCACCTGGTTCCTGGTCCTCTACGCAGAATTCGTGGTCCTCTTTGTCATGCTGATCCCATCCCGAGACTACGTGTACAGCATCATCAACGGAGTCGTGTTCAACCTGCTGGCCTTCCTGGCCCTGGCCTCACACTGCCGGGCCATGCTCACGGACCCCGTGAGTATGTCTGGGCTCGTCTTTAGCGGCCCACACTCCTCCTCTGGCTCTAGGTGGCCACAGCCTGCATGCACTATGGGCCCCTCAGGATAGGAGGAGCAGGACCAGGCTGAGGGCAGGCAGCACCGTGGGATCCACACAGATAGAGATGCCTGGTGGGGAGACTAGCCTGGGTGCAAGGAGGCGCATCCTGCCACCTTGCAAAGGGGCTGGTGGGCAGCAAAGGGTTTCATCCTGAATGAGGAAAACAGCCCTGGAGCCAGGTGGGCTTGACATGAAAGCCACCTGCAGTTCCCTGACCTATGGGTAGAGGCTGCCCTCTGCCCAGCCACGTTCCGCTCTCCCTGCAGCACTGGCCTGGCCTGGGGCGGGCTGCAGCCATGCCTCTAGGTGACTGTGGGAAGCATGGTGATCTGCTCAGGGACGGCTAAACATGCCAGGCTGCGCAATGGCACCGGGCGTGTTCCCTCTCTGCTGCTCAAGGTCTTGTATGGGAAAAGCTGAGTCCCTTGTTGGTAAAGGCTCCTGTGGCTTTGTGGTTTCACCATGTGTATGAGGAGGTAAATAAGGAAAGGAAAGGAAAGGAAAGGGCTGAGGATGTCACTGGCCTGGTACCTGGATCAGCACCAGGGCTCTTGTCTTAGTGTCGTTACATTTTTGTTGCTGAAACAAAATATCTGGCTGAACTCCCAGAGCTACTGACGGAGAGGTCTAAGTAGCTCCCAGTATGTGGAGGTTTTAGTCCATCCCCTGCTGGCTCCAAGGGCAGGTGGCATGGCACAGGGGAACCATTCAGTGGCGGCAGAAGACAGCAAAGCAGCAAGAGCACAGAGGGGAGAGCAAGCCTTTTTCCTTGCTTGTATCCTCAGCAGGCTCCCCCAGGGATCTTGGTGCCCGCCTACACCACAGGCGATGAAGTGAGGCCCCGGGCCCCCTGCTGAGTGGCTTAGTTAAACTTCTAACCTCAAATTGACACAATGAGTAAAGTCTTGGAGCTAAGGGCATGTGCACCCCCATCCCCATGCAGGACTGCTGAGTTACTTAAGCTAGACTCCTCAAGTTAACTCAGTGTATCAACCATAACACTTAGCTAAGCATGGTGTCCTGCTGGCTCAGGTGGTGTGCAGTGAAGTGTCCTCAGGGAAAGCAGCTTGCTGGCTCAGTAGGGTGTCACTGACAGGCCCAGACAGAGCCTCCTGTCACATAGGTGTGCCCCATAGGCCCACTAAGCAGTGTCACCTGGAGTCAGTGACGTGCATAGGCTTGGTCCAAAGGCCCCCAGACCCCAGAGTGTGAGTGTTTACAACAGCATCGATTTCAGTTGTCTTGAACGCAAGTCAAGGATTTATATGCAAGTTTTCATGACACCCACCGTGTTGGGCTTGCATGAGTAGAAGATGCCCTTTTGCTTGGCTTATAAATATGGAGTCTGCTAAGCCCCAGGAGCTCTTCTGCCTTCAAGGTGCCCTCTGTCTGAGCAGGAGGAACATGCTTCACAGTGGAAGGACAGGGGAGGGGACTTCAGCCACCCTAGGTGGGGGACCATGCAGCAAAGTTGACTCTGAGCCTGGTCTTGCCAAAGCCATGTTGGAGGAGGTATGGCGAGAGCTGTAGGTGACAGATGGGCTCTGGACAGGGGCAGCAGTATGTGTTGGACACAGCTCCTCCAGGCAGCCCAAGGGGTTGGGATAGCGGGAACACAGCCTTCAGCCCCTGAGGAGTTTGGACAAAAGAGAGAGGAGATGGGAGTGTCGCTGGGCAGGGACTCCTTACTGCAGGGTGGCAGGCCCTGGGGGCTTGGCCAGATGTACAGGTTACCAGGCACTTGTAGGAGTGATTCTGTTCTGAAGCGGCTATGGAGAGAATGAGGGGGACACAGATCCTGGCCCTCAGCTCTGGGTCAGGTCAGGCCATTTTAGAAGGTGGCAAGTGCTTTAAAGAAGTTGGCGGGGGTGGCTTTGAAGGCCTCTGCCCCAGTAATCCAAGAAGGCTGGCTGGCGGGAGAGCCGGCTCCTGGTCCTGAGCAGTCCTCACCATCAGCTCTCTTGGATGTGCTCTGCGGGCCCAGAGGGAACTAGACTGCCATGTGTGGTCCACTGAGCACCTGTCCGAGCCAGGGAGGCCCGTGGAAGTGTCCTGTAGACAGGCCCTGGCCCGTCCCCGAGTGTAATGGGGTGGTGCTGCAGAGATAGAGCTTCACAGGCCTCCTAGGAGCAGGCCTGGGGGCCCAGGTGTAAGATCCAAAGCAGAATCCCTAGTCAGAGTCCCTGCCAGGATTCTCCAAGGGATGTAAGGCTTGTGTATGTCAGAAAGTTGTGGGCTGGGGATGTGGCTCAGTGGCACTGCGCCTGCCTAGCAAGCGTGAGGCCCCGAGTTCGATTCCCGGTACCAAAAAAGAAAATAGTAAAAATAAGGCCAAAAGTAATGCACACCCAGGGGTTGCGGACAGTGTAGGTGCTGTGTAGCTCCCTGCTAGAACAAAAGGCAGGAGGAAGAAATCCCTTACATGCTGTCCACCTAAGCCCTTACCGTGCCCCTGCCAGCTTTACATCTTGATCCCAAATTGAACATCAGAACAGTGGCAGCCACGAAGTCTTCCAGACCACTGGACAGGCAGGACTCCTGGGCAGCAAAGCATGGGTCCGCACACAGCCCGGGCAGAAGGATAGAGGGAAAGGACCCACGCAGATGTAAGCTGGCCTCATAGGAGATGTGGCCCCTGAGAACTGGGGTGTGAAGGAGAGTCCTGAGATGGGCCAGGAGGACAGGTGGACCTCAGTTGGCCAAAGACCTCTGATGACACCTGGGCTTGATCTCCTGCATCCTCTTCAAGTGCACCTGGGGCTGTGTGACACCTGCCAAGGTGCTTTGCTCGTGCCTGTGACAGAGCCTGGAGGGCCCTCCTGGTCCTTGTCGCGGCTTATGATCCCATGGAACAGTAATTAGAATGCTAGCCAGTAACACTCCCCCACTCCTGGCACCACCCATGGTGAGAATGAAGACCCCGAGGCATATTCGTAGCTGTGGGGAGCCCCGGGCCCCTGAGTCCAGCCACGATGATGGCTAACCAGAGCAAAGGCCTCGACCCAGCGCTGAACTGGGTTGTATTACTTCGTGAAGAAGGAGGTGCTCGGGGATGAGTGACTGAGAGGCAGGAAGTGGGTGAGAGCCGCGAGCTGGGCGAGGAGGGAGGCCTGAGGTCACCTCTGCAGTAAGAGAGAGGAGGATGCGCAGAAGGGCTCGTCTGCATGACACAGCCAAGGGGGTGCGGTGTTTGGGGCCCGTGCCTCAGCTCTGGTGCGCCAACTTTACCCCTGGGCAGCCGCAGCCTCTGTCTCGAGGCTCATCCCAGCCTAGCAACCCTTCATCCCGCCCGGCCTGGCTTCACGTGTTTATTTGGGAGCTATGGGGACGCACTGCCCTGTCACCCTGCTTCGAAGACTTCCCATCCGCACCGGGGCTGGACCGATCTGCATTGCTTAAAGCTGATTGAAGGGATAAGGACACATCGGGACATGGACACAGGCCCGGGCTCAGCCAGCACGGAGATAATTGCTCTTTCAAGATGAGCCGCCCATGGCTCCTCCACAGCTGAGGCATTTTTTTTTTTTTAATTTTATTTATTTATTTGTGTGTGTGTGTGTGTGTGTGTGTGTGTGTGTGGCCAGCTCAGCCCACCAGGGGGCGGGGCTGGCTGGCATGTGGTGCTGGGGGATTGAACTGCAGTCCCTGTGCTTTGTTAAACTTGTTCTAAGTAGGTGCTTTAGACCACTGAGCCATCTCACCAGCCCCAGCTGAGGCATTTTGAGGTCGAGAGTGACCCCCTTACCCTGAGAGGTAGACCCTAAATGCAGCTGGGCCTTAAAAAGGCCTGGTTTGGGGGCCTCCCCTTCCCTGCTTCCATGTTTCTTTGCCTGTTCTGTTCTAAGGTTTCCTCCTGTGAGCTCCTCCAGGAAGCCTTAAACACAGAGCTGGGATAGTGTCTTCCAGAGACTGCCAGGACAAGGCCCAGCTGGTGTTTTGAGGCCTTGTGGCCAGAAGTCTCCAAGCCAAGCACTGCGCCATCTTCGACCCTTGCGATCAGTTTATTTTCCCTGCTCCTTTCAAACCTAATTCCTTTCAGCTCATAAATGAGTTCAAATCTGAGATTTGAGAAAAGAAAGAATACACACTCACTCCAGGTCAGCATGCTGCATCAAGGGACTTCCGGGAGAGTACTTTGTCCTTTTGTACCAGGCTGCAGCCCACATCTGCCTGAACGGCCTGAAGATGCCCATGAGAGGCAAAGTGGCCCAAGTGGGGTCTTTAGCCTCTGCCTGTGGAGGAGACAGGTGGCCTTGCTCTGGGACAGCTGTCCGAGGGGGCCCTGGGCCTGACCGCCCCAAGCACCTTTGCAGGCCATGGCTGCGAGTGCTCGGTCCTTGGGTTACTGCTGCTTCTTCCGTTCCGTGATTCAGCCACCTGCCACTGAGCTGCCCCAGTCGTGCCCCCCCCTCCAGCCCACTGCCTTTTTTTAAATTTAACCTTCCTTTGTTGGCATTTTGGACCGTCTGTTGCTTTCTCTTGTGTCTTTCCATGTTGTCAGACTGTCCCAGACTTTCACTGTAGCAGACATTCTTGTCCGAGGTTTGCTTTACCCATAGTGGGGCAAACAGATGGGGGCCTCACCTGCTAGAAACCTGCTGACGCGCCACCTTCTGTTAGGCTGGGGCTGGGCCCTGGCATTGCCGCCTGGTGGCCGTGTCAACTTGGAGTCGCAGACTTGTCTGCTTTAATCACCTTCTCCGTGAAATGAGGCCTTGTCTCCTGCACCACTGGATTATGGTCCCAGTTACCAGGCAGGACACAGCTTGTCACAAAGTGGTGGGAGCTGTGCCTAGCACAATAAGACTCTGTTATTTGTCGTGGGCTCGTGGAATGCAGGCTGTGTGCCAGGCTGGAGCATTTTGCTGGTGACAAGTTGAGAGACATTGCCTTGGCCTTAGGGTTTATAGTCAGGTGTGCAAGCGATGTGCAATCACACGAAATGTGCTGTCTCCACACACAGGCTGCAGGTGCAGCAGCTGCTTGGGGACCAGCTCTGGCTGTCAGGACAGCATGGAAAGGGTGAGCTCATGGGCTTGGAAATGGCCCCAGAGGATAGGAGGGGCTGGGAGTGGGCACCTTCAGGACCTCTGCACTCCGTAGCCCACATGAACCCCATAGCTCAAACTGTGGTCCACAGTGCCTAAGGCGCCAGGGACAGGGCTGTGGGACAGCGCCCATGTCAGGTCCCATGTTAGGTGTTTACCTGGGAGAGAAAGGGCCCCTGGTGCTACTGGTCTGGGGCGGGTGACAGCAGCACTTGAGTGAAGCCAGGATGGGAGTGTAGCCAGGACCACGCAGGCTCAGGCTGGGCTGGGTACTCTTGGCCTTGGCAGATGCAGTGTGGCTGCAAGGAGGGAATGACTGAGGGGCTCTGGTGGCCTGGCTGGCAAAAGGAGTAGAGTCACCGGGAGCATCTCAGGAGGCCGGGCAACCACCAGGGGCCCATTCAGGGCATGTACAGGGGCTTCTGCGGGACAGGACCAGATGTAACCAGACAGGCGTCCGAAGGGCACAGTCAGCGTGGGCTGTCTGGATGGGAGGAACCTTCTGGGTCTCTGTCCCTGAGAGCCGAGTCCTTTGTTGGTCTCCTGGGGAAATGCACCTTGTACTTTGTCCCTGGCGCCCTGCACGGCAGTTCCTTCGCACAGTCACCGTAACACAGCTGCTTTGCACCCTCCAGAGAGGAGCAGGGGCCTGGGGTTTGGTGAGGCCTGCCCGTTGCTCTGTCGCCCAGGGCCTGCTCTTCCCACCCCACACCACCCCTGGGGCCCCATGCAGCTCAGGGTAGCACAAGAGTAGCACTTTTGTGACAGTCTCACTCAAGGAAGTTCTATGTTGAGATTTTCTTTTTTCTTTTCTTTTTTCTTTTT